GTTATTCATTATGTTTTTAAAACTTAGGGATATTGTAGGAAGTTATTCTTTCTTATGGACAAAAAACATTTAAATCTTAAATGTTTAAATTCCTTAAATTCTTTCAGATTTATTTCATTTTTTCCCCAAGTAAAATTAAATTTAGGCAGAAACACTGTATGTGTGTGTACGTGTGTGCATAGAAAGACCTGTAAAATTATGCTCACCTGATGTTAATGATGGTAATGTCTGGATGCTGGGATTTACACTTTTATACGTTATTTTAATTTCTTTAAATAAGCATGTAGAAGAATTTTTACAGAACTGAGAAAGATATTTGAAAAATAAACTAGAAATAAATATGCCATGGTTGATGTTGTATGGTGGAAATAAGGATGATTGTTACTTTGCTCTTTATACTTTTTTGTATTTTTTTTAATTTCCAGAAAAAGATATGTAATCGTATTTGTGTAATATTTCTAAATCCAGTTCATTCATTATTCATTATCTACCTGGCTATATGCCAGGCATCAGGCTCTGCCAGATAGAAGAAAAGACACAGTTGTGCTCTCTACCAGGGGATATTTGTCTATCCGTCTATTAGGAGGAGCTGGAATTTAGAAAAGAATCGCTTCACCCAGGTAACATTCATTTGAGCTGGGCCTTGAAAATCGGTAGTATAGATGGCAAGGAGGTCTCCCAGGGGGAGGCCCAGGAATGGAGAAGGTCCCAGCAGGGAGTGATCTGTTACTTGATGATCCATCTCCTGGAGTTTAAGCACATGTGTGAGACAGTAACTCCAGGTGAAACCGCAAAGGTCAGTGACCTAGAATTCAACCTAAGGAGCTTGGTGCATTGTCAGGCAAAAGTGAGCAATGGACTGGGCTGGCTTCATAATCTGCAGGGCCCCCCACCCAGAGCAAAATAAAAATGTGTGGCCCACTCATGTAAGAAGCAGGGAAAAGTTCCTCTAAAGGTACTAAAATAGAAAGCTTTTTCTTTTCTTCCATGGTCTCATTCTCTCTTTCAACTTCTCATGTTTTGTATTTGCTATTTAATATCATTCTAAGTAAAATAATAAAATAAAAATTTAAATTATTAGGATTGATTTTGCAGTTCTTTATACTGTACAAAGATTTTTTTTTTTTTTTTTTGTCCTTTTTGTGACCGGCCGCACTGCACTCAGCCATCCCTATATAGGATCCGAACCTGCAGCGGGAGCACTGCTGTGCTCCCAGTGCCGCACTCTCCCGAGTGCACCACGGGCTCGGCCCTATACTGTACAAAGATTTAAGTGCAGATATAAGAGCATTGAACTCATCTGTGGAATGACTGAATTACACAGTTAGTATTTTATAACACATCTTGGGAGGCTGAGTCGGCCAGAAGAAGCAAACTCAAGCCAGACTCAGGAATGCTGCAAAGAGGAAGAGAGAGTTCTCCCCCACCCAGTCACAGAGTTGCCCAAGGGTGCAGTCCCCCAGGCACAGGGATACAGAGGGGGCCAGGGCAGATCCCCACCAGTGCCCAGGTCCCTCTTCCCAAAGACCCACCATTCCAACCTACAGCATATGGCCATATCCAAGGGTCTTTAAACCTCTGGTCTGGATGTGCTAGGTACCTGAGTCAAGGGTGACCTAGAGACTCATCCCCACCAGACCCAGCCTCCAGCCAGCCGTCTCCTTGGCAAGGCAGACACTGCCAGCCCAGGGTAGGAGTAGGTTTCACCCTGCCTGGCCCTAGTCTATGACAGGTCTAGAGCACCTGACCTTGAGCTCCCCAGCAGTGGCACCAGGAAGGCTTCTTTCTATACAATGTTGGGACTCTGCCCGTGTGACCCAGTTGGCACCCCATGCAAAGGGTGGCAGCAGTCGTGGGACATAGAGAGGCCAGTTACAGCCTGGGACTTGGCTGCTGAGAACCCATCCTGCAAGGGAGGAGGGAGCAACCCAAGTGTGAGCCAGGCTCCTAGCTCAGCAATTCTACATTGTCCCTTCAGACTTCACTAACAAAACACAAATGCAAAGATAAAAGTATTAAGAATTTCAAGACAGCCACAGGACAGCATTAAACCAAGTGTGGGACCCTTCTGCATGCAGGGGGTGGGGACTGAGGCCAGCCCTGGCTACAGAGATGAGAATAACAAGAGTCATACTTTAGGAAGACTGATCTGTTTATAGTTAGGGAAAGTTTTAAGGAGCTCTATTAACAATACAGGCAGGATGCCAAGACAGGAAATTAGATTTTCCGAACAAACAGAAATCTAGTTATCAGACATCTAGTTCTAAGTGGAGTATGGATCACTGGGACCAAAGCAAGGGGAAGAGGCACTCCCCAACCCAGAGGGGGAGAGAAGGACTTCCAGAGGGGTGTGTGTGTGTGTGTGTGTGTGTGTGTGTGTGTGTGTGTGTGTGTTTTCTTGGCTGCTGAAGGGAGTGAGTGTTGCAGCAGATGCATAACAAAGTCAAAGATGTGCTGCCATAAGTAAAAAACAGAGGGACAAAGAGGCCACAGGCCAAATGTTCAATATAAGGGAGTCGCCTTGGATGTGACATTCTACAATCTAGGCGCCCCCAGCATCAAGGAGAATGTTCATAATCATGCAATCCTTCTGCCATACGGTAATGACGGGAGACGGCATCACACATCACAAAGATATCTCGGCAGATGTTTCTAAATGGCTACAGAATTATGGGATAAATTGTGGGCAGAGGTGCCTGGATATCTCATGGATGGTGGAGTCTGAAGCAGGGATGGAAATTTTGACTTAAAATTTCTTGGATTTCTCTAAGTGAATACCCTGGATGGGACCTGTTACCAGGGCAGACAAGAGAATTTCTAAACTAAAGTTGTTTCTAACTGGAACTCAGTCTGCTATTTCATGGTCTTTTTTCATTTTGACTAGGGGCTCAATACTGCCCCAAAGTTTGGGGGGACAGAAGAGTACCCAGAATCTATAGGGCCTAGTGGCTTGGATGGGGACAAAAGGTCTGAGGGAGAGAAGGAACAAAACTGGGGCTCCTTAAAATTCTTCTTGAAGAATTTCTTTAGCACCTTGGAATGGAGAAGGCTTTCTAACTTTAACTCAAAATCAAGAAGCTAAGTAAGAAAATACCTTTAAATCTGAAAGCATAAAACTCAGAAACGTCTGAGTGGTTAGAAAATTTAGAAAACAACACAAGCAAATCAAAGGGCAAGTGACAAACTCGGGAGGGAAAAAAAAGAAAGAGGTGTGGTTCATACCAGTTTCTAAAGGGCCAGTTTCTAAAAAAAAGCTCCTGCATACCAATGAGAAAAAGAGCAACAACTCATTAGAAAAATAGGCAAAGGTACGGACAGATGGTTAACAGGAAAGAAAACACAAGCAGCTCTGAAATATGTGAAAAGATGCTTGTTCTCACTCAGAGAACATAAAGAGAAATAAAAATTAATATTAGTGTGAAGACAATTTTTCATTTATGAATTTGATAAAATCCAAGAGGATTTTTATGATATCCCTGCCAAGAGGCAGTGGGAAGCAAAATTTCCACACATTGCAGGTGGTTATGTAAGTGTGGTAGTTTCTATCACAATTACAAATGCACAGCCCCGTTCCCAGATCTCTTCTGTCTGCCCCTCCAGACCCACCCTCCACCTTACCCACTCTTTACTTTGCCCTGGGATCCTGTCTTGTGTGGACACAGTCCCAGCCCCCTTGCCCTATGGCTTCGGGTTGGGTTCAGCCAAAGGGGAGCTCCATGTAAGAGAAGGGAGGGAAACAGGAAGGGATATTGATTTCTCAGCCCCCTACCTGCATGTCACCTTGGGCTAACCTTGTCCTTTGGCCTTATGTCATATCTCCTCACACAAGATTCTGTGCTCCCAAATTCCAGGGTTGGCTCCTTGTCTTCTTCCTTTCAAGCCGAGTGTTAACAGGCCCCACTGTTGTTAGCTCCAGGTGCTACACTGCCTTATGATTTGCTTACATCCTGCACGCACGTTTGTAAATAGCCTCTTGACTAAAGTCATCCTCAAAATATTCTTTTTTTTAAAATTTTTATTGTAACAAAGTTGATTGTACATATTGGTGGGGCACAGAGTTGAACATCAATCCTCATGTGCAATATGTGGTGCTTACATCAGAGTAATTATTATATTCAATAATATACACGAGTCATTGCTATTCATGGCCCTTTACCTATTCCTCCCTCCCCTCTCCCTTCCCACTTCTAGTAACGTCAGTTGTCCTTTTGAAAGTTCAATGTGTTATTGTGAATGTTGTATCTTTCTATCTTTTATTTATATGTTTATTATTTTAGCTCCCACTTATGAGTGAGAATATATGGTATTTCTCTTTCTGTGCCTGGCTTATTTCACTTAACGTGATTTTCTCTAAGTTCTTCCATGTTGCTGTGAATGGTAATATTTCATTCTTTTTATAGCTGAGTAACATTCCATTGTGTATATATTCCACATTCGCCTTATCCAGTTGTCTGATAATGGACATTTAGGTTGGTTCCAACTGTTGGCTATTGTAAATAGAGCTGTGATAAACATGAGGTTGGAGGTATCTCTTCAACATGATGATTTCCATTCTTTTGGATATATACCCAGCAGTGGAATTGCCAGATCGTGTGGCAGTTCTATCTGAAGTTGTTTAAGAAATCTCCATACCATTTTTTATAATGACTGCACCAATTTATAGTCCCACCAACAGTGTAGGAGGGTTCCCTTTTCTCCACATCCTCTCCAGCATTTGTTGTTCTCCATCTTTTTGATGATAACTAACTGTGGTGAGATGGCATTTTAATGTGGTTTTGATTTGCATTTCCCCAATGCTGTATGTTTAAAATTTTTGAACCAGAATTTAAAATTTTTCCCTGACTAGGGAGAGGATTGGTCCCAGAAATGAAGACCAGGCTGCTTGAGTAAATGGGTAAATGGTCTCTCTCCTGAGAGGGCAGATGAAGTCTGGAGCCAGGAATTTTGCTATTTCTTGCTGGTCTTTCACTGTTTTGTCTTTGCCCCTATTTTCATCCTTGTAATTTAATTAGACACTTCAGGATTTTGATCACCTAATGTTGATTTTCTTTCAGATGTGAAAGTAAAGAAAGGACTTAAAAATAATAGCAAAGATGCTTTTGAGTCAGAATGCTGCAGCAATCAGATCATTTAATTTGTTTCTCATGGGTAAGTGACACTTTTTACCCTAGATCTTGTAGGAGCAAGCCTGTGATGTTATCATCAGCAAAATCCCTGTTGGAGAGCAGCAAACTGATTTCCCTGACTGGAGGACCCAGTATCAGCCTGCCCAATGTCAGGAGTTAAACAGAAAGTAGATAGGAAGCCTGTGCTTGTGGTTTAGATTCAATGTGGATTTCTGCCCTAACTGCTGATTTTAGGAAAATAAACCAATAAACAAGAGTGACATAAGGCTCAGTAATGATGGGGAATATTTTCATGTATAATTTGAAGAGAGATTTCTCTTTTGGGAGGGGCAGCAAGCTGGTACAGGATGAAGAGTGACTTAATACTCTCATTCTAATCCAGGGTCGAATTATCACCCTACTCCTGTATTTAGGAAGAGACCAAACCCCCTATCTCCTACCACATCCATCAGACTGAAAAGTCATCCCTGAACTTTGGTTTCTGCACTTCATTTGCTATTGATTTTTCTCCACATTCCTATTCATTTATGCCTTTTCACTACCTTTGTCTTGATTCTATTTCACTACCACTGTGTCATCTGTTCCATAGTTTATCAGTAGGGGATCCATGAGTGAGACAGTTCTCTCGGCAAAGGACCATCCATGCACTGGATGATGTATAGAATCCTTGGTCTCCATCTATAAAAATGTCAGTAACCCCCTAAAGTCATTGTGACACCCAGCAAACAAATGCTCCCACATATCTGCACCTACCCCGAGCGGATGAGGCTCACCAATCCCAATCACAAACACCCTTTCTTCCTCTACCACCCATGGTAAATATCTTTACCTTTAAAGTTTATTAATTAGCAATGCACTTTTTCATATTCCGAGAATATTTCCAGATAGATAACTCTTTCTAAGGACACTTCTTCAACCAGCCCAACCCTTGTTGTTAGTGTCAGCTCCCAAGTGGGTCTTATTTTTGGATCCATTCCCACTCAGGACATAATTCTTGGATGATGTGCTGGTGGGACCAGTGTCGACTAAGAGCCATTTACTTGAGCTTTATATTTTATTTTTTAGCACAAGAAAATATCAATCCAATTTTAATACATGTGTGTAAAAGAATCCCAGACTTAGAGTGATAATTATAAGTTGAGCCCAGAGAAAACTTTCTTGCTTCTCTAATGTGTTTTTCTTCCTCCTAGTGTACATCAGCCTAGTTTTTGGTATTTCACCTGCTTTGACTGGTAAGAGATTTTCTTGGCTTGACTAAATTTTTTCTAAAGGTCAAAGGATTGGAGTGTCGATTCAGAAGTATAAAATATGGGAAATTTGATTTCTGATCTCAGCCCAGTTGCCTATTTCATTAGAATCCTTTCTCTGTAAAAGCAGCTAAAATTAGCTAGCTTTGGTTTTCACGTTTGCCACACAAAATTGTTATAAGAAATTAAGTCAAGGATGATTTAAAAACCCATTGAAATAATATTCAAATGCTTACTATTCTCAGTAATAGAAGAATGAAGAAACACAGGCTATGCCAAACAAAATATGATCCAGACATAATTTCTCTTTATTTATATTCTTCCACCTGTTGGTTTCAGATAAAATGATAACACTTTTTTAACTGAACTTCTTATCTACATATATAAATCTGTCCACAAAACTTCATTAAGCATTAAATATGTGCCCAGCCTTGTAATAAGCATTGGGGCATGAAGAGTTGGCAACCAAGAAGCAAAGGCCTTGGTCCTAACCACAGGAAACTTGGGTGATCTTTAGAAACATAACCATATAGGGCCAGCAACGTTGCTCACTTGGGAGAGCGTGGTGCTGATAACACAAAGTCAAGGGTTAAGATCCCCTTACCAGGTCATCTTAAAAAAAAAAAAAAAAACGAAACGTAACCATATAATGCAGGATTTGACAAGTGTAGCTTCAGAGTCTCACTTGCCACTGCCACTTCCCAACTGTGTAACATTGTATAACTTAGTTTCACGGTCTGTAAAATGGATCTATTAATAGTACCTACTTCAGCATTGTTGTGGGGCTTAAATGCTTAGAAAGGGCCAGTCTGAGCACACATTGTATCCCCTCCTCTTGGTGAAGGGGAGAGTAAGTGCAGTGAAGAATCCAGAGAAAGGAAAGCCTACAGCAGGCTGAGCAGCTTACGGAGAACTTCATGGAGGAGTTGCAAGCTGAATTGGCAGAATGGGGTGGGCAGGGAGGCTGCATGGGGGAGGAGGAGGGGAAGCACTCCCTGTGGCCCACAGTAACCTGGACTATTTTGGTCTAATGAGCCATGTAGACTCAATGATAATTGGAGAAGTCCTCTGTCCAAATTCTGTTTATGCAATGCTGAGTTCCTGTTTCCCAAACTTGCCTGCCTAACAATGTGTGTATCTCATTAATTGACTGCATTAGTTCATTTCCCATGTCTGGAAGATTTCCTGTGTTTCTAAGACCCCAGGGCTCTCCAGAGAGCTTCTCTGGGCCCTAGATCCCTCTGGGCCTTAGATCCCAAGGGACAGATTGGATAGTGGCCAGAATACAACCTTGGGTTCCAAATTTTAATTCTTTTTTTTCCCCCTCCTGTTCTCTTTAGATTTTTCAGTTGAACCTTGCATTTTAAATATGACATTACGAAATTTCCGGTCAATCTTGTCATGGGAACTGAGAAACCATTCCACTGTACCAACTCACTATACATTATGGTACACAGTCATGAGGTTGGTTTGACATTTTGTTTTTCTCTTGCTAAATATATTATACTTCTATATAAAGGAAGTGGGGGGGGCCGGCCCGGTGGCACACTGCTACAGTGCGCCGCTTGGGAGCGCGGCGACACTCCCGCCAAGGGTTCGGATCCCACATACAGACCGGCCGCTCACTGGCTGAGCGAGGTGCAGGCGCAACACCGAGGGTTGCGATCCCGTTGCCGGTACGGGCGCAACACTGAGGGTTGCAATCCGTTGCCGGTCACGAAAAAAAACAAAAAGGAAAAATAAATAAATAAATAAATAAAAATAATAAAAAAAATAAAGGAAGTGGGGGAAGAGGGATCTTATATTCTCTCTCTCTCTTTTTTTTTTCTTTCTTTTTTTATTGAGACCCTTAAAAGGCCTTAAACAGAAAAAAATTATATTAAGTGAAATAAGTCAAGCACAGAAAGAGAAATACCACATGTTCTCACTTATTTGTGGGAGCTAAAAATAAATAAATAAATACACAAACAAATGGGGGTGGGGGCAGGGAAGAAGACGCAACAATCACAATTCCTTGAACTTGTTAAGACAAGTTAACAGATATGATATTGATGGGTGGGGGGGAGAGGGAGAGGGGAGGGAGGAATCGGTAAAGGGACATGAAAATCAACTACATTGTGTATTGATAAAATAAAATAAACAAATAAATAAAGGCCTTAAACAAAGTACTCATCTATTTTTAAATTAAATTGAATACTTTAATAATCCAAAGCTATTTTTGACAAAGCCTGTGTTTATAATTAAAGCCAATTTCTATAGGTCAAAGCCTCTTGAGAAAAATAGTGATTGAGTATGGTTTTATAATGATTTCTCTAGTTCAGTCAGTCTGAATGTTTAAAAGACCTATATTTTCTGAGGCCAGGAGCCCAAAAGTCTGTTGATCGTATTGATGGTTCACTTTTCTTTATTCTGGTAGGACATCAGAAAGCTACCTGGCCCAGTCTAGGACAGGCCTGGGTCCAAAGTCTGGTTTGGTCACTAACCAGCTTGACACTTGGCGGAGAGCTCAGCCTTTCTGAGTTAATGCCTCCACTTAGGGGTTGCTACAAGGATTAATTGCATAATGAATGGAACCTGCTTTGGCTCTCTTCTTCCCACATTTAACAATCACTTTCCTAAGTCACTGCTTTGACCCAGCTGCCCCTTGGAATGCCCTTTTGTTGCTGTTGCTGTTGTGTGAACCAGTGGAGAACCTCTTGTGAGTTTCCCTTTGGTGCCTGCTAAAGTCTTAAAGTGTCTCTGCATTGAGCAGTCACGTGTTTAACTCACCTGCCTTTCTGAAGCTTGGTAGATTAAATGTCTATGTTGTCTGTAAAATAGCACAGGGCTGACTTAGGACTGGACTGTGTAGTCTTCCGCCAGAGAGGGGAAAGGCATTCATGATTGTCCTGTAGGGAGAGGGAGATCTGGGGCCTCTACCATGGAAGCCTAAGTTTCATTCATTCATTCATCTAGCAAAAATTTACTGAGCACCTACTATATGCCAGGGGGTCCAACCATGAGCCAAAGTCACTGCCCTGTCAGAGCAAACATTCCAAAAGTAGGCTGGAAAATCAATAAACAAATAAAGATATAATGTGGCAGGTGGAGGTAAATCCCATGAAGAAAAATAAAGGAGGGTAAGAAGGACTGAGAGTGCAGGGGTGAGGAGGGTGTAAGGTGTTCCATTTTAAATAAAGTGGTCAGGGAAGATGATTTGATACAGTGATATCTGAGCAGAAACCTAAAGAAAATGAGGAAGTGAGGTGTACCGAAAACAGATTCTCATTACATACATGGTAAAGTTTTCCCTTTTCCATTTCTTTTCTTTCCAAAGTAGACCTGAAGATATGAAGATTGTTGACAACTGTGCAAATATCACGAGATCATTTTGTGACCTAACAGATGAGTGGGAATACATAAGCGAGACCTACATCACCAGACTCATAGGATTCAGAGGGAACACAGCGGTGGTCTCTTGCAGCCACAGTTTCCATCTGGCTGTGGACAGTGAGTCTGCTTGTTTCTCGACTTTGTCCTTTTTGTCAAGGCTGCCACTGTTTGCTCTGCCATGAGATAGGGAGGCCAGTAAAAGTACTTTAGACTCTGGGCTGATCTCACCTCCTGGTCCTGCTCCTTCCTTGCTCTGTAACTGTGGACTAGTTACTTTGCTTCTCTGAGCAACAGGGGGTTTTGGGGTTTTTTTTGTTTTGTTTTTTTTTTAAAGATGACCGGTAAGGGGATCTTAACCCTGACTTGGTGTTGTCAGCACCACGCTCTCCCAAGTGAGCTAACCGGCCATCCCTATATAGGGATCCAAACCCACGGCCTTGGTGTTATCAGCAGCACACTCTCCCAAGTGAGCTAACCGGCCATCCCTATATAGGGATCCAAACCCACGGCCTTGGTGTTATCAGCAGCACACTCTCCCAAGTGAGCTAACCGGCCATCCCTATATAGGGATCCAAACCCACGGCCTTGGTGTTATCAGCAGCACACTCTCCCAAGTGAGCTAACCGGCCATCCCTATATAGGGATCCAAACCCACGGCCTTGGTGTTATCAGCAGCACACTCTCCCAAGTGAGCCACAGGCCGGCCCTTGAGCCTCAGTTTTTTATCTGAAAAGTGGAACAACAATCTGTACTTTGCAAGTGACTACTCAATGACTGTATTAAGTAGGCATTGAGGCAGTTGTAGCTGCTATTTTTGTTTCACAGCCTGTCATGAAGTGGGAAGCTGGGTACAAGTAGCTTGTATCTAAGCTGGTACAGCTCTTTGGGCCAGTGTTTTACTTAACACAGCAACTGTACCTCCAGATTGTAACGCAATAGCTCTTGAACATGTGAACACCCTGGTGTGTGTGCCCCTGGGACCCAAAGCTCAGAGGACAAGACTGGAGCCTAAAAGTGAGCCTGCCCCTTCTTTCTTTCCCTGGGACTGGAGCCAGCTCCCTAAGGTACTTGCATTAACAGCCTCAGCCCTGTTACTTTTTCAGTTTCTCAGTTTACAGCATGGTTTCCAAGAAAACAATTTGGTTTCAGCTCCCTGTTACAGGCTTTGTGGGAGTGCACACATACCGGCTTAGTAAAGCGATAGTGATGACTGAGTGGCAAACGATTGAGATGACTGTGGCAAACAATTGAGATATGAGACTTGCTGGAATTGTTTGCATGTTTACACATGTGTATAAACAGACAGATCTGTGTGTGCACACATAGAAAAGAATGAAAAGCACAAGTTACAGATCGTGGTATTTGGTTAATTAAAGAATGCACATTAAAGTAATAATGAGATATTTTTCATGACTAGAATGATAAATATGAAAAAATACATAGATGACCCAAGTTTAGAGGGAATACAAAGATTATGCTTTGGCACAGTCTTTCTGAAGGTATTTGGCAGTATGTATTAAAAACCTTAACACGGGCCGGCCCGATGGTGCACTCAGTAGAGTGCGGCGCTTGGGAGTGCGGCAGCACTCCCGCCGAGGGGTCGGATCCCACATACAGACCGGTTCCCGCTGGGTTCGGATCCCATATAAAGATCGGTCCGCTCACTGGTTGAGTGTGGTGCGGGCACGACACTGAGGGTTGCAATCCCATTACCGGTCATGAAAAAAGACAAAAAGATAAAAAAAAAAAAAACAACCTTAACACGTGCCTCCTCTAATCCAGAATTCCTCTTTAGTAATTTGTCCTAAAGAAATTCTTAAGAAAAATGCAGATTTAGACCCAAGAATACTCAATGATACATTGATTCTATTCAGAAAAATTAGAGACTATCTACGTGTTCAAAACAGTGAACTAGTGAATCATGGTACAGCCACTTAGTGAAATGGAATTAGCCATAAAAAATTGTGATGTAAATCAGGGATTGGCAGACTTTCTGTAAAAGGCCAAAGAAGAAACATTTTAGATTTTGTGGGCCATTGTGGTCTCTGTCACATTTTACTTCTTTTTCTTTTTTAACAACCCTTTAAAAAATAAAAGCCATTTTAAATTTGCAGGTTGTACAAAAGTCCACAACCCATGGGTCATAGTTTGCCAGCCCTTGCTGCAGATATATATATATTAATATGCTTATGAACTATAGTTAAGTAAAAATTATAACATGCAAAACAATGTGGGTTAGAATGATTTCCTTTTAGTTTATATATACATATACACACACATGCACACACACTACTTTAGTTTATATATGTGTATACTTCCAAAAACTCATGGAAAAATGGAATTAAAAGATAATATGAATCTTTCCATGAACTTTTTGAAGTACCCTCGTATGTATATATTTACACAAATGACATAGACAAAAAATGGTTAACCACATCCAGAGACAATTGCCCATCTGTATTTTCTGATACTTCTACAATGATTATGTATTATTATTTTAAGATGAAATCATTTTTAATTTTGTGTTTAGAATACAGCCTGAAAGTTGGGAGAGTTACTGACTTTCATTCCAGAATCTGTCCTTGACTTCCTGTGGTAATGTTAAACAAATCACTTCACTTTTATTATTCTCAGTTTTTTACCAATAAAATAAAAACAATCCATGCTGCAACTAGGATCTTAGGCAGACTAAAAGGAAAATAGCTGTCTTTAAAAGAAGTAAGATTATATGATGACAATTGGAGGTGTTATTGCTATGTGATCATTAACTGACATCGGAACTTGTTTCTGACTTTGTTTCCTACACAGTGTCTCTTGAACCACCAGACTTTGAGATTGTTGGTTTTACAGACCACATAAATGTGATAGTGAAATTTCCAGTGATCCTTAGGGAAGAATTACAGTTTTTTTTATCACTTGTCATTGAAGAACAGTCAGAGAGGCTTGTTAAGAAGGTAAGTGGTCTCTAGTGTTAGCATAAAAACAGTTCTGAGTTGGCAATGGATACACTTGACTCTCTTTTACCAAAAGAAATTTGTAGTTGAATGATTAAAACTAACAAGTCTGGTGACTTTAGGAAAGAAGTCTTATAGTTCATTGATTGTGAAAATATGTTGATCTAACCCCGCAGCTCAGCCTTCTTTAAAAGAATAAGCCACATGCACAACCCCAAGAGACACAGAAGAGAGAGAGATGTGTGGTGTAGACAGGAGAGCAGCCACGTTTCAGCAGGCCAGGGTGAGATTTCTCTGAGAGGATGGTTTAGCTGAGCCACACCTGAAAAGCATCTGTCTCTGCCTCTGCAGCCTCACACACAGTTAGGGAAGTGGCTCTTTTCAGCAGTTCTGTCCCCTCCTGATTTCTTCAAAGGACCTAATTGAATGTCAGTAACCTCTGGGTGTCCTGGTATCAGATAGACCTGAACCTTCAACTGCTGTTGTCTTTATCCCTCAGAATGCTAGAATAAGTGGAAATGGACAAACAGCGCTCACCAGTGGGCCCTGCTGTAACAGCAGCTTACATTTGCAGAGCCTTTTGCCAATTATAAAACACTTGCAAGTAAGACCAGCCTACAAGATATCAGGGCAGAGGAGGTACAAAGGCCTTGAGGCTGGAATGGGTCCAGTGGATTTGAGAAACAGCAAAGGAGAGGTGGCTGGAATAAAGTGACCGAGGGAGGGGGATGGCAGAGTTGAGGTCAGAGGGGTAATGGGGCTGATGTTGTAGAGCTCTGTGGGTCTGAGTCTTCTGAGTCCAGTAGAAGCTGCTGGCGGGCCCAAGGTTTAACAGGGCATCTTGGCTGGTGTGTTAAGAAGAGACCAGAGCAGGCAAAGGTGGAATTGGGAGACCAGTTAGGAAACTGTTAGGATGGTAATCACTTACTAGGCAGTAACAAATTATATATGATTATTGCCATTTTTCCTTTAATGTCCACATAGATTATAATCAACACTCAAGTAAAAGGGAGCAGAAATAACGGGGAAAATAAGTTTATGTGGCTCAGGGACTATATTAAGAGTCATTAAATAGCCCGTTTTGATCATGTCTCATTTATGTTCAATCCATGGATTACTGTGTTTTAGATTATTATTACTAAAATAAGAGAGGTGTGCTTATTAGGATACTGAAAACACTGTAAGAGGAAAACTATAGTTAATAGGCAACTTCTTCATTAAAGAAAATTATTCTTTAAATTAAATCAAGGAAAAAAAGAGGTTTTGGTATAATCCAGGCAACAGACAGTGGCGGCTCAGACCACTTGGCAATGGTGGGCTAGTAGGAAGAGATCAAATTGTGCATGTATTTTGCAAGTGGAGCCAGCAGTATTTTCAGATAGATTGGATATGCATTTGCTGTTAATTAAAATGGGGAAGATTATGGATGAAGCAGGTGGGGGTTGGATATGAATAGCTCAGTTTTGCACATGTTAAATTTAACGTGCTTGAAAGGCATCTGGGAGATGCTAGGTAGGAGCTGGATGTACCGAGCATGGAATCCAGGGGAGAGCTCCCAGGTAGGGAGACGTCCTAGGGAGTCACTGGTGTACAAATATTGAATGTCTGAGACCAGATAAGATCACCTGGGAGTGGACACTCAGAGAGGAGAGAAGATGTCCAAAGACAGAGCCCTGGAACATTCCAAAATTTAGAGATGTAGCAAATGAGGAAAAAACGGGAAAATAGACAAGAGGGAGCAGCCAGCATTCTAGGAAGAGAAACAGTTGAGAGTGATGTCCTGGGAGCTGAGAGAAGAAATTTCCAGGAGAGAGTGATGTGCCAAGTCAAATGCTACACACAGGACAAGGCAGTTGAGGAGTATGAGTGGAGGATTGGGTTTAGCAATGTGGTGGTCATTGTGTGCCCTGGATAAGAGTAGTTTTGGTGGAGTCATGGGGCAAAGGCCTGGTTGGAGTGGACTGAAGAAAGAGAGGCAGGAGAAAAATTGGAGACAGTGAGGAGAGTTCATTCTTAAAAGGAGTTTTTCTATAAAAGGAAGGAGGGGTTTATAGACGTGGCAGGAGGGGAAGACGGGGTCAGGAGAGGCCATTTTAAGATGGCAGAAATTATGGCATGTTCATGCGCAGATGGAATGTTCCAGGGGGTATTGTTGGATTGATGGCCTACAGTAGATGAGAGTAGACAGTGTTTTGAAAGCACAGGAAAGGGATGGCCTTGGCTGGGAGCAATGACTGTGCATGCCCAGCTCTGGGCAGAAGTGGAGGGTGCAGTGCAGATGCAATGCATGGTGGGAGCTCCTGCTTGCTCCATAGAATAGGAAGCAAGCGTTGCTGACGTGCTAGAGATCGCTCAATGGCCATGCCAAGGGTGGAGCCCAGGCATCTGGCCCTCAGCCACATTGTGGTCATCTACCGCGAAGCAGGAGCCCTCCGGTCCTGATAAAGTGTCTGCTCCTGTCCCCTATTCTTCTTCTTTACTTATTTGCCATGCACGAGCTTTTAGTTTGTTGGGTTGTATATTTATTTTTTCAATAGCCTCCCTTCCTTCCAAACAGAAACTTGCAGAAAAACATTGTTACAGAAGGCTGTATTTGAACTGTTAGAAATCCTAATTTATAAAACTGCTAATAAGAATGTATTTTGAAAACTGTAAAACAGGATAAAGAAGTTGTTATTCTTGAAAGAAACTTCATATTATCTTTTTAATTCCAAAATGAAATAGAACTACATGGGAAAGGAGAGGCAAGGGGTTTTAAGGGAGAAGACAAAAAACTAGACATCAGCCTCAGTTCTGCCACAGACAAGTTGTGTGACGTTGGAGAAGTTACTTTGCTGCCGATTCCTCATCTGTAGAATGGAGATAATGCCTACTTCGCAGACTGTTTTGAAAGTCAAAATGAGTTAATATGTATGAAAGCACTTTCTCAAGTGTGAAATAAACACATTGTCAAAGAGATAAGATAATCTTGTAAAAATGACATCACAAAGACCCTTATTTCTCTTTGGGGCTTTTTCTCCTCATTTGTAAAATGAAGTTGCTAGGCTAGATTTCGTAGTTTTAAAGTATGTGTGTGTGCATGTGTATAAATACAGACACATGTGGTTTTGTGACAAATTGCTTACCCTAGTGACTTATAAATCTTTTTTCTTGCCAAACCTATGACATTTCTAACCCTATTTAAGATTTGAAGACACATCCCCAAAGAAGTTTTTAGGGCCTGACTAATTTCATACTCAAAGTCTTATTGGTTTTTTGCTTATTTTTACAGCACAAACCCCAAATAACTGAAAACGTAAGTGGAGATTTCAACTATGTCATTGACCAGTTACTTCCAAACACAAACTACTGTGTATCTGTTTATTTTGAGCCTTACGTTTTGGAAACAGAAAAATCTCCCTTAAAATGCACCTTCCTTCAACCTGGCCAGGACTCAGGTATGTTCGTTTTTGGAAATTTATGTTTTTACTCTGAGGGAAAGCCTATTTAAAGAAGAGAATCTAAAATTCATGGGGAATTAAAGGTTTTTCTTCCAATAAAGGCACATCACAGAGAGATTTTTTGTTGGTCAGTCTCTGTTCTCTGGTAGAGTCATTTTTATGTTGTCATTCCACAGGGACACTCAGATATCTACCTTCATAAGGTCAAAAATCTAGAAGTTGAAACGCTTTTATTACATGGAGTCGGGATTAAATTCAGTGCCCTTTGCTTGGTCATTGTTCAGCCCAATGCTGGCAGATGCAGAGTTGCTTAAAGCACCTGCGTTCTGAGACATCAGAGGGGGGAAAATGGATGCGGTGAGGTTGGATGTGGTTCATAGAAGTGGCTTGACTGGCAGGAGCATGGGCTGCGCCTCATAGATGTGAGGGAAGCTTGCTAGTGTGGATGAGATGGTCACTAATGAAAGCCGAAAGGCCTTCTGATGCAAAGCCATCAGAACAGTAAACAGTGTGATGCAGAACCTTCCTCTGTGTGGAGAAATGTGCAGTGAGAACAATCAAGCTTAGGAAACTTCCTGCTGATTATTTTCTCAGGAAGTAGCTAGGTCTCCAACTGTTTTACCAGTAGTGAAAATCTATGAAAAGCTCCCTCAAAGAAACCCTTCTAAATTTCCCAACCACCATGGAAGTTTCTTTAATGTTCTGATTTACCCGAGTAGGATTTATAAGGAAATGACTTTAAGTGATATGGTTATTTGTGAATTTAGTGAGCTACACTAAACAGTGTCTAGCACATAAAAGCACTCGATGTTAGCTACAAGTACGGGGTAGTGTGATTTTATTCTCTAGTGTTCCTCAAGACTGAATGATGCGCAGACTGATTTTAAAGGAAAAAGTATCTCAAACCTTTAGCTTAAGTTACTTTTATAACATCAATTAAATACAAGCAACCTAAAACTGCATACAGATCCTCTATGCCTATAGCTCTTACAAAAATATAAACCCAAAATAAATTTACATATTTATGTTCCAATACCAATTCTGTGACACTAATTAGATGTCCAACAATTCAGTTCATTTCAGACACCAAATACCCGAAGTTACCACAGGCCCTACAGGTTAAGTTCTCAGTCCCACAAGACTGCCCCCACTTCAGATGCCAGCAGCAAGTTTGGGGTCCCTAGGCTACCCACACTTCTATCCAACTTGGCTACAAATTCAGTTCCCACGACCTCCCCTCAGGTTCAATAATTGGCTAAAATGACTCACAAAACTCAGGAAAGTGCTATATTTGTGATTACCATTTTATTATAAAGGATATAAATGAGCAGCCGAATGAAGTGGTATATAGAACAGGGACTGGAAGGGTCCCAAACTCAGGATCTTCTGTCACTGTGTAGTCAAGGTGTGTACCACCCTCCCAGTACATTGAAACATTCACCAAACTGGAAGCTCCCAAGCCTTAGCAGTTTTTATTGTATTTTATTATGAAAATGTGATTGATTAAATGATTGACAACAGGGTTGGGCTCAGTCTCCAGCTCCTCTCCCCTTCCTGGAGGTCAGGAGGTGGGGCTGGAAGTTTCAACCATCTGATCATGTGGTTGGTTTTTCTAGTGACCAGCCCTCATCCTGAAGCTATCTGACCACATATAAAGAGTCACCTCATTAGCATAAATTCAGATATGGTCCCCCAAAGGGGCTCATTATGAGTAGCAAAAGACATTCCTATCACTCAGGAAATTCCACAGGTTCTTCAAGCTCTGTGCCAGGAACCATGTTGTTCATGCAACAGCATGCTGTCAGGTCATTTCATCTTTACCTGGTGTGACCATATTATGTTGCATATTAAGTCAGCCTCCATTCTTTTATCATTATCCAAGACAGTTAAAGCACAGGTATCCCTAGCTGTCCAAATACTTGATGTCTGGATTCTTGTCAGGAACTAAATAAGTTCAGATAATGTGTCTCTCACTAGCCATTTGACATCTGAACTATCCTCGACTAACCAAACTCAGGAACCAGACAGGTTTGGATGACGAGGGGTCTTTGAAGTGTAGGCTGCAACCAGCATTAACTCACTGAGACTCAGCAGTAAACACACTGTATTAGTCTGTTTTTGTGTTACTATAATAGAAGTACCTGAGACTGGGTAACTTATAAAGAACAGAGGTTTATTTGGCTTACAATTCTGGGACAGCTGCATCTGGCATGGGCCTCAGGCTGCTTCTACTCATGGTGGAAAGTGGCAGGCATCTGGTGGGTACAAGCAGATCACATGGTGAGAGGAAGCAAGAGAGCAAGATAGGAGGTGCCAGGGTCTTTTAAACAACCAGCTCTCGCGGGATCTTGTAGAGCAAGAACTCACTCATTACTTCCCCCACCTAGGGAGAGCATTAATCCATTCATGAGGGATCCACCCCCATGACTCAATCCGTTTCCAACACTGCCACATTGAGGATCACATTTCCACGTGAGTTCTGGGAGAACAAAACATCCAAACTTCATCACATGCAATCTCAGGACAGACTGATAATGGGAGGATTTTAGCCCACAGATCTAGAGAAACACCTTCCCCTTGTCAAGCCCTAAGTTAATTGATTGGCTCTTTTAGTAAGGCTCTATTCATGTATCTGACAAATATTTATTGGGGGTCTACTATGAGCCAGATTGTCTTCTGGATATAGCAGTGAACAAAATAGATAAAAATTCTTGATCTCGTGGAGCTGACTTTGCAGTAGGAGATAGAATAACAAGATAAAGAAAATAAAATATATAGTTCGTTAAGTGACAGTAAGTACTGTGGAGAAAAATTGAGCAGGAAGGGAGACTAGGGGAATGTCAGGTGGAGGGGTGGCTCGCTATTTTAAATAGGGTGGTGTCTTGGTTCCTATAAGCAGAGCCTGGGATGGGAATTCTTGTTCAAGTATGATTTATTAGTGAGGAGGAGGGGGTCTCAGGAGAAGAGAAATGAGGGAACAGATAGGGATGGATGGGGAGAGAGAATTTAACTAGGCAAGCATGTGTTCTGACTGAGCCTAACTTGAGTCTGATCCCAGTGTGTTCTCTGGAGCATGACCCGTATCCTCAAGTCAGTCAGTTGGTCAGTCGCTTTGCTGGTGTGATTGTGGTGTAGCCTTCAGGTGAGGCAGCCCCACCTTGGCCAAGGGCAGTTCCTTAGAGAAGGATCAGCTCTGAGATGTATCAGCCATTACGCATGGCAGCCCTGGGGGGTACATGTTGACTGGTAAAGGGGACATGGGCAGGACACCTGCAGCCCCCACCACAGACAGCCAGAGAGGGCCTTTCTGAGAAAGTAGCATCTGGGTAACCACCCATGGGATCTGTGGTAATCAGAATAATGGTTCCCCAACGATGTCTACATCCTAACCCGCATATATGAACATGCTACCTTCCATGGCAAAAGGAAGTTGTGATTTGCAGTTGTGATTAAATTAAGGATCTTGAGATGGGAAAATTATCCTGGGTCATTCAGGTGGGCCCAATGTAAGCACAAGGGTCCTTATAAGGGAAGGAAGGAAGCAGGAGACTCAGAGTCACAGAAGGAGCTGTGACAGCAGAAGTAGAGGTCAGAGAGGGAGAGGCTCAGAGATGCTGTTAACACTGGCTTTAAGGATGAAGGAAGGGGCCACGAGCTGAGGGATGCAAGCAGCCTCTAGAAGCTGGGAAAGGCAAGGAAATGGCTTTTCCCCTAAAGCCTCCAGAAGGAAGGCAGTCCTGCCAATGCCTTGATTTTCATCCTAGTGAAACAGATTTTGGACCTTTGACCTCCAGAAACTGTTAAATAATATATTTGTGTTGTTTTATGCCACTAACTTTGTGGTCATTTGTTACAGTAGTAATAGAAATGAAGACAAGAGGTGAAGGAGTGAGTCTGCAGACACATCAGGGGAGAGAGTTCCATGTGGAGGATCCAGCAAGTTTAAGCCTGAGGCAGGGTTATGCCTGACATGGTATGGCAGGAGTGAACTGAGCAAGGGAAGAATAGTAACAATTTAGGTCCGAAAAAGGTGGAGGACCCTAGGTGATGTGTAGGACCTTAGAAGCCATTGAGAGATGAGGACCCCTCAGAGGGTTTTGGGCAGGTTGGCTCCTCGCAATCTGACTTAGGAGCATCTGGATGCCACCAGATGGGAGCCAGGCAACTGCTGGGCTGATATCACAGTAATCCAGGTGGCAGGGGGGGTGGTGCCTGGTCCAGAGGGGCAAGCAGGGGAGGAACTCAAGAGACTGATGTTAATCATCATCAATCTTTTGACAACGTTCTTTTTCTTTTTCATTAAAGATACTAGTAATCAGATATTACCTGCCCTTATTGGTCAGCTCAGCCCTCTGCTTGTGAGGTTTCTTATGTTTTGCTTAAAAAGTCTTAACAGTGAATCCAAAGAAAGACAGGTTCATCCAAGGCCAAATTTTGAAGGCACAACCTGGTCTACCTTCCCAAGATGGGTTGATTAATAGCAGTAACACCCAATTACAACTTCTCCTTCTGAGTTGAAACATTGCCAGGATTCCTATTTTCAAATAGAAATATTTAAAAATAGTATGCATGCATAATTTGTCATGACCCCAAGAGACACTTGTATTTTTTAGATTATCATCAAGGTAAAAACTAACAAAAAACTTAAGTTCTCATTAAGAAGTCTCAGACTCATGAGAATACCCCAAATTGAGCAGTATTGTTCTAGCATATTAACTGCAATTTGCATAATTTGGTTTGTAGGATGTCCTATTAAATAGATGACACACGGTCCTTTGTAGCTATTCTCTAGAAAACCGTGTGGGTCCATGAGTCAGAATCTCAGTATGATGCCATTGCTTCACTAATGAAATCATTTTGGTTGACAGTATGCTTTTCAGAAATGTAAACTCTATACATGTAAGAATTGTGTATCACAAAGGTGTGCCTCTGTGGCTAGATCTGATTCTAGAACTGTCATTGATATGACAATCACTCATTCAGTCTTGATGGGACAGAGAGAGGGTTCATGAATTCTGTGCTAGTAGTGCAAGGATCCCTACTGAGTTTCTTTCTATTCATTCCTTAATCTTCTGAAAGATTTAAAGTACATATCCATTTTTATTTCCTTTTTCCCCTCCTGTATCTATGTTGCCTAAGGCTGTAGTTACAAGATTAATATTAATAAAGGTCTTTCTGGAAGTTGAAGAGAGCCTAAGTTACATAACTACCAATTTCTTTTCAGTCCATTCAGACTTATGGACAAAGTCTATTTTCAATCAGAAAGTTGAAGTTTTGCAAAAGGAATTTTGACAAGAAGCTAAGGGGAACTTGTACTAGCACAAGGCAAGTTCTGCAGAGCCCTGATTTGGAGCCCTGGCATGGCCAAAGTCCAGCCCCAGAACGACCTCGTTGTTTTTTCCAGACAGATTCTTGTTCCCCCTTCTTCCTGCCTGTGGTGCATACCAAGCATTTGAGATGTGGCTCATATGATTGAGAAATCAACTTTTTAATTCTACTTAATTTTGATTGTTTAAATTTAAACAGCCACAGTCAGTGGCTACTTGAACAGTCCAGTTATAGAACATAACGTGGAAGAAATTTTACTTTTTTTTTTTTATTTTTATTTTTTCCTTTTTGTCTTTTTTCGTGACCGGTAATGGGATCGCAACCCTTGGTGTCGCGCCCGCACCGCGCTCAACCAGTGAGCGGACCTGTCTCTATATGGGATCCGAACCCTCGGTGGGAGCGCCGCCACGCTCCCAAGCGCTGCAGTCTACCGAGTGCGCCACCGGGCCAGCCCTGCTTTTAAAAGCTAAAGCTATCTTATTGTTTAAAAAATACACACTTGGATTCCTCTCACTTCTTTAGTATTTAGCAATATAAAACTATTTCTGTAAACTTTTGCTTCCTTGATATTACCTTCTAACACCAGACCAATGTGCATTTATTTGCATCTGTATTTGTTTATTGGATTTCTTTTGAAATAAAGCATTTAATTTTCTTCAACAGAATCTGCCAAAATAGGAGGAATAATTACTGTGTTTTTGATAGTAGCGGTCTTCATAAGCACCATAATAATACTGAAGTGGATTGGTTATATATGCTTAAGAAAAAATTTACCCAAAGTCTTGGTATGTAGTTTTTTAAAATTTTCTATCTTCATTTTTTATTTTAAGAATTTTTATTATATACTCAAATATTTTCACAGAAGAAAATCTCATTTTCTAAAAATACCAATGTGTTTTATCACTGGGGTTCTTTTCCATCCCTACAGGTATATATTTTGCAGTTATAAGTGCATTCTATGTTTCCTTTTTATACTTTGTCTACCTGTTTTTCATAAAGATCACATAGAATTCCATTATTATTAAGGTATCATTTTTCACTTAATCATTTCCCAGCTATAGGATATTTGGGTTGATTTCCTTTTCATTTTTTTCCTTTCTTTTATTTTGTTTCTTTAGCCATTATGAATAGTGCAATGGATATTTTTATATAGATTATCTTTTTTATTTTAGATTACTTCAGTGGAACATATACACAAAGTGGATTTATCTTATAAAAAGATTTTGAAGAACTGATTTATAGTGCCAGTGATGATGTGTAGGTGTACATATTTCTCCAAAGCTCCGCTGACATTGATTAATCATTTTTACTACTTTTGTTCATTATTGTGTGTATAATGGTTACCCTGTAGTTGTTTTCATTTGTGTTACTTTCATTATTAGTGAAAACAACTGTTTGCTTGTCTTTTTTCTTCTCTGTGCTTCTGCTGAGAGCCTTTACTCAACTGAGTGTATTAATCTTACATATATATTTTTTGTATTCTCACAAAAAAAGAATTTTTAAAAAATTTTTGGCCACAAAACAAGTCTTAATATATTTTAAAATACTAAGATCATAGAAAATATGCTCTCTGACCACAATAACAAAAGGAAATTTAGAAAATTCACAAATATGTGGAAATTAAACATTCTACTAAATAAACAATGGGTAAAAAGAAAAATCACAGAGAAATTAGAGAGTACTTTGAGTTAAAAATCAAAGTACAACATATCAAAATTTATAGGATGCAGGGCTCATGAAGTGCTTAGAGGAAAAATTATACTTGTAAACACCTATATTAGAAATAAGAAAAATCTCAAATCAGAAATGTAAACTTCTACCTTAAGAAAATAGAAAAAGAAGAGCAAACTAAACCAAAAGACATAAGGAGGAAAAGACAAAGATTGCAACAGAAATATATCAAATGGGAGGCCAGCCCATGGCTCACTCGGCAGAGTGTGGTGCTGATAACACCAAGGCCACAGGTTCAGATCCTATATAGAGACAAAGATTGCAACAGAAATATATCAAATGGGAGGCCAGCCCGTGGCTCACTCGGCAGAGTGTGGTGCTGATAACACCAAGGCCACAGGTTCAGATCCTATATAGGGATGGCCGGTTTGCTCACTGGCTGAGCATGGTGTTGACAACACCAAGCCAAGGGTTGAGATCCCCTTACCGGTCATCTTTAAAAAAGAAAAAAAAGAAATATATCAAATGGGGAATTAAAAAACAATAGAGAAAATCAACAAAACCAAATGTTGATTCTTTAAAAAGATCAACAAAATTTGCGAACCTTTATCTAAGCTGCCCAAGAAAAAAAGAGAGAAGACCAAAATTACTAAAATCAGAAATAAAGCAGGGGCATTATGTCATAGGTCATTGTCATTATAGATTTTAGTGGTAAGGTTTAGTTTCTTTCTCTTTCTTGTTTGCATTTTTGTTCTGCCATGGGTTTTGTTCTTTCTTGTATGTTTGTGGTAGTGATTGTAGTAATTATCATTTTTCGGATTCCAGATGCAGGACTTCCTTGAGGATTTCTTGGAGGGCTGGTGATGTGGTGGCAAACTCCTGCAGTTTTTGTTTGTCTTGACAATACACTGTTTTTCCATCATTTCTGAAGGATAGCCTTGCATGGTATAGTATTCTTGACTGGCAGTTTTTTTATTTTAGTATTTTGAATATATCATCTCATTTTCTTCTAGCCTGTAGAGTTTCTGTTGAGAAGTCTGCTGTTAGTCTGATAGGGGCTCCCTTAAAGGCGACTTGACCTTTTCTCTTGCTTCTTTTAAGATTCACTCTTTGTCTTTGAGCTTTGCTGGTTTGACTATAATTTGTCTTGGAGAGGATCTTTTTGGGTTGAATCTGTTTGGGGATCTTTGAGCCTCCTGGATGTGAAGGCCCATGTCTCTCCCTATACTTGGGAAGTTGTACATTATTATTTCACTGAATAGGTTTTACATGCCTTTTCCTTTCTCCTCCACTTCTGGAATACCCATGATTCAAATGTTTATGTGCTTTAGGTTGTCTGCTAGCTCCCTTAGGTTTTATTCATTTTTAAAAATTCTTTTTTCCTTTTTTTTTTGGTCTGCCTGGGTTATTTCAAAAAGACTATCTTCAAGATCAGAAATTCTTTCTTCTGCTTGTTCTAGCCTGCTGCTTAAGCTATTGACTGTGTTTTTCATTTCCTTGAGTGAATCTTTCAATTCCATGAGTTCTGCTATATTCTTTTTCTTTTTTTATTTTTTATTTTTTGGTTGCTGGCCAGTATGGGGATCCAAACCTTGACCTTGGTGTTACCAACACTGTGCTCTAACCAAGTGAGCTAACCAGCCTGCTACATTCTTTTTTAAGGTATTAATCTCTTTGTAAATTTCCTTCCTTCATATCCTGGATTTTTTTTTTCCTCATTTCATTGTGTTGTCTGAGTCTTCTTGGATCTCAGTGAGTTTCCTTAAGATTGTTGCTCAGAATTCCTTTTCAGTCATTTCAAGAGTTTCCTGCTCTGTAGGGTCTGGTGTTTGAGAATTACTGTATTCTTTTAGTGGTGTCATATTTTCTTGGATTTTCATATTTCTAGTATCTCTGCATTGATGTCTGGTCATCTGGTAGAGCAGTTGATTTTTCTATTCCTCTGGGGTGGGCTTTGAGGAAAGAGACATACTCTTCTTTTTCTGGTGTCCACTGGTGACTCTCCTTGTGTCAGTGCAGTCAAGTGTCTAGTGGGCTGCACAGTGGCTGTGGCATTGAGCTGCTTTTTCAGCAGCCATGGCTGTGGCAGTGGCTGTGGGGGCTACCCACGCAGAAGTGGTATTTTCAGCATGCTCCTGCCTATCACCCCAAGCATGCTCTCTTGCCTGATTCTGGGCAGAGGGGCTAATCTTACATGTTTCTAAAACCTTTTCTTGTCTTTGGACTCAACTACTCTTGCCCACTGTTATCATTTTCTCTACCCCATTGCTTTCTTTTTATGTTTTGTAATATTTCATTCAGAAATGATGTGGATTGAATCATGTCCCCCAAGTTTTATGTATTAGAGGCTTGGCCCCACTTTGAAAGTGTTAAGAAGGTGGGAAATCCCACTGTGGTGATTGAAAGGTGGGGCCTTAAAGAGATAATTAGGTTGTAGGACTGTGTTGTAGTGAATGGATTAATAACGGTGGTCAGGAGCGTGGTTCTGAGGTCTTTAAAAGGAGAGCACTTGAGAGTCTCTGTCTGCACTGCAGTTCTTGCCATGTGACACCCTGTATTGCTGTAGAGTCACATCACCAGATGTGTTCCCTGGACTGTGGACTTCCCAGCTTCCAAAGCTATAAGCAATGGCCCAGTTCCAGGTATTTTATTATAAGCAACAGAAAACTATTACAAGAAATATTTTTCTATGTTTGAACACATTCACTTTACTCTCCTAACTTTTCAACAGCCATATAATTAAATATTCCTCCAGTTGATAAAATTGCACTCTTCTTACCATGTTGTTATCTTGTGTCTATCTAGTATTTCTCCTTTTAAAATTGTTGCTCTATGTTCAAGTAAAAACTCAGAACTCTGGGCATAGTGTGTTTCTGTATGTATGTTTAATTAAGAATTAAAATGTTAAAATTTTGAAATGGCTTCTTTTCTTTTTATTTTTAATTTACCAAATATTTAACAAGCATCTATTATATACTGTATTAGTCTGTTTCTGTTGTTTATAGCAAAATACATGGAAGTGGGTAATTTTTAAGAAAACAAAATTTATTGCTTACAGTTCCAGAGGCTAGAAGTCCAAAGTCCAGGAAACATATCTAGTGAGGGTCTTGGTGGTGGCGACAGTGACCCAGGGGTCTCACGTGGCAGAAAATGGCAGAGCAGAGGGAGACTAACCTCTTATGTGCTCTTCTTTAAAGCCCTCAGAACCATATCCCGAGCACCATTTTTAATCCATTCATTATGGCATGGTTCTACAATCTAATCACCTCTTCAAGTCCCCACCTTTCAGTAACCATAATAGGATTTCCCACCCTCAACAGTTACAGTGAGAATTAAGCTTCCATGGTTGGGGGCAGAGGGCATCTAATCTACAGCATCTGTCAACATCTTCTATGTGCTAGGGATATAGAATTGAATGAAACAAACAAAAAGCCTTGTCCTCATGTAGCTTAGAGTCTGAGGAATGGGGTAGAGACAATGATAATTTATAGATGATACAATTGTCTAAATTTAAAAAACATGTGAATCTGGAGATAAAATGTGAGCCTTAATAAGTTTAGAAAAATTTTTACAAAATCAATATTAAAATGCATTTTTAGGTACTAGTAGCATTCAATTAGAAAATATATATGAAGCTCTTTTTCAACATTCAAAAAATAAAGTACACACATCATAGGTGTAATGCTTGGTGAATTTTCACAAACTGAGCACATGCATGTATCTCATGCCTCAGTCAAGAAAGAAGGAATGACCAGCACCCCCAGAATTTCTCCTTCCACTTTCCAGTCACTACTTCTCACCAAGGGTAACCACTATTCTGATTACTAATAGCACAGATTAGTTTTGCCTGGTTTTGAACTTCATATAAATGGAATCATATAGTTACGAAGCAGTGGATATGGTGGAGGTCATTTTGATCAACAGAAAGAAGAAAGTGTGGGATTATAATTATGATGATGAAAGTGACAACGACAATGAAGCAGCCCCCAGGACAAGTGCTGGGGGCTACACCATGCATGGACTAACAGGCAGGCTTCTGAGTCAGGCCCCTGCCTCCTCAGCTGGGACCTCTGAGGAGTCCCAGTTTGTGGACCCAGACTCTGAGGAGCTGCCTGAATTACCCGACGCTGATGCTGAGCCCCTCATGGTGCTGGGGCCCTGCCCCTGGCAGTCAGAACACACAAGTGGGTCTTATGAGAGGAGAGAAAGTCCACTCCAGGACCCCTTTCCTGATGAGGACAGTAGCTCCCTTGAGGGGTCTGGAGACAAAATTATCTTCAATGTGGATTTAAACTCTGTGTTTATAAGAGTCCTCAATGACGACCCAGAAGAAGCCCCTCTGATGTCATTATCTCTTCCAGAAGAGAAAGACAACTTAGAGGATCCCAATGAAACGGAATCAAGCCTTCTGGTGACCACAGGGGAAGGGACACAGCCACCCTACGCTGGCCCCTCTTCAGAAAGCCTGTGTCCTGAAGATGCTCCATCAGATAAAAGTGACACTTGTGAGTCGGATGTTGACCTCAGGGATGGTTATATAATGAGATGACTCCAAAACTATTTAAAGAACTTGGACAAATACCTGCGGGGTTCTCGCTCCTTGAACCCTAACTTGCTGCTTTGTGGTCTGCAAGTATTTTCTGAGGGAAGGAGTAGGAAACTGTAGAGTCTGCCCTTTTCTTCCTGGTAACATCATCTATGCAGATTCCCAGCCAGGACATTGTCAACACATTCAAAGCACTTTGAAGGGAGCATGCTCTGCCCATTCCCTTTAATGCACTTTCGATGTATCTGCATCATGTTTCCCAGGGAGTAAAGTGCCCTGTGGTTTTCAGGGGTGGTCCAAGGCCTTGTTATATTTCTGGGAAATAATTAAATTGGGCCAGGGTGGGAGGGTGGAGAGAAGAGGAAAACAGTGAGCAGGAGAAGTCAGCTGTGTTAGTAAGTGGAGACCCTGAGCTCAGCAGGCTCAAGGAAAGAGCAGCACAGCAGGCAGAAAGAGGGGAGGGAGGGCAGCTAGACAGAAAGGAGGGGGACACATGAGATAGAAGGGAAGGGCCAGCAAAGTTTCATTGAATGGGCCCTGAGCACCTCTCAGATGTCATATTCTCTCTCCTCTACTCAGAATTCCACTCGCAGTCCCTTGGCTAGCCCTACCCCGTTTGAGTGGGAAAGACAGACATATACATGCATAACTCTAGTGTCAGGCAGGAGGAAGCATTTCATGGGGGAGAGGGATAAAATTTCAGTGCCATATTTTAAGATTAAAAAAGAGAACAAAAGCAAAAGGGCTTTAGGGTCTTAAGAAGAAATATTGCATGCAAGTCCCAGAAATTCTATTTGACAATTTCAGAAGTGCTATGGGTGCTGATTCCAAATGTCTTCCAAGTGATTACAGTCCCCAGGAATCTGGGGGAAAAAAATAAGGTTCTAGAATGTAGCAAACAGTACAAGGCCTGGGACTCAGAGGGCTGACTGCCAGCATGTCACTGTGTGACGTTGGGCATTTGCTTAGCCTCTCTGAGCCTTGTTTTTTTCATTTTTGAAATAAGAGGACTGGACCAGGTAATCTCCAAGATCCTATGAATCTAGGGGAGGTATTAGAAAATGTACGGGAATAAAGAGTCAGGTAGAAGTGCTGCAGCCCTGAGGCTCCCAGGAAGAATGGGAGATACAGGACCCTCCCATCTCACTCCCCTCACCTCAAAAGCCAGTTTCTCAGACCTTTCTCCTAGGCCCATTCAAAAGGGGAAAAACAAAAATTATCAGTCCTAGTTCAAGGACTTTGAATAGATTATTTGCATATTTGCTCTGAAGTTACTCAAAAGGCGAAGACTGTGAGGAGGGAAGGCCTTATTTAATAATCTAATGCAATTCCACTGGAAAGAGGCCTTGTCATGTACATAATCCATTTCTCTGCCCCCTGAATGCATCTATCATATTTTGAAACATTTCCAGATTGATCTTTTGGTATAACCTCTCTAAGGCTCTGTGTGTGTGTATTTTTTTAAATTTTGTATAATGGAGGTTGGAAAAGGGTAATATAAAAATACTTTTTAAATAGAAACTTGGTGTGGTATTCAGAGTTGCTTCTCGTTAGAAAGTGTATGTATATTGCAGGTACGGGTTTCTGGGGCTTCTGCTGGCATCTCTATCTCTAGGATTGCACCAGCTCCCTCTAACTCCAAGCAGTGACCTGTAGGAGCCTAGGGAGCATTTCCCCTCCCTCTGCTCCAGTTGACGTGGGGAATCCTATCGTGGGGAATCCTATCGTTACCCAATACATGGGCCTGCTCCGGGTTTTCCAGCCTCACCACTGCACAAGTTTACAAGGAAATTAAAACTTACTCAGCAGTCCTTGAAAGCAATTGGTTACTGCGAAATAAATAATTTGGTTTTGTGTTGTTTATCGCTGGAGTTGGGGTGTAAAGAAGTCCCTCTCAAACTGGGCTTGCAATAGAATGCTTTTAACCCACCTTCTGTGCGGGGAGAGGGTATTTGAAGGCCATGCCGGTTCACTGGAGAAAACTTGGGGACTACCGAACAGTATAAACAAAAACGACCACCACCCACAATCCCACCATCCAGATCAAATCCTCGAACTGGCGTTTCCGTGCATCTATTTAACATGGGGGACCTGCCAAGCCGTGACCCTGGCTTCTTGGGCGGGGTGCGCCAGGCGCGGGAAGTCCCCGGGCGGGGGCGGGGCCAGAGGCGGGGCGGAGCCCTCTCGCCCCGCCCCA